TCAGGTTCTGTTGCGCAAGGAAGCATCCTCATAAAAGTAGAATGAGCTTCTTTCTTAGATCTTTTTGTCACTGGGTAACCAAAGCTGTTACCAAACCAACAAGAGAAGAAATCATCTGAGAAATAATTTTTCTATAGCTTTCAACTTCTTCCTTTTTTGATACTCTTCCATATCTATGAAAGATTAATAATATTTCATAATAACCTGTTGGAGAAGTGAATTTCCTAGTCACATCATGTGTGAATTGACAGCTGAAAACCCTGAACTCTAACTGCATTAAAATCTGATTCTAATAATTTGTTCAACATCAGCTAAGTTGGCATGCACAGGCTAGTGGCCTAGGAGTCAAGAAACTACAACGGTTTGGTAGCTCATCAACTAACTATATGGATGAGGACAAGACAGTCAAGTTTTCTGAGCCTCAGGAGAGCAAAATATATACTTGGCTACTCTGTCTGTTGGAGCTGCTGTGAGGAACAGATGAGATCGCGTATGGGACAGTTTTGGTATTATAAAATGTGCAATCCAAATATGAGATAGATAGATTGTAAGATGTGTGTGTACAGAGGTGTATCTAAATTATTGCATTCCTCTAAGTTGTATTTCCATGTTTTGTATGTAAACAAGAGCTTGTAAAGTTGATTCTCTCCCAATGATCACAGCTCTTAATGGGCAGTTGCAAGTTCAGAATTTGTTAGAAGGACGAAACTGATCAAGGGGATTATTTTTTTTCCATTGACATGTGAAAAATAGACTACTGATTAGAAAATATTTAGCTGTCTTTAAATATACCTGAATGGTCTGACTTTTCTATTATCCACTTTTCTTTCAAATATAGGAAATGAAAAGGAAAACCTTCTGTATATATTGTTATTCAGTGGATGTATCTCTCAGGGAACAATATATTTAATTTTATTTGTCAGAACCATATGCCAAGCACCATGTTCCATAGATAAGAAAGGTACAATCTGAGATGCTTCCTTGTTTTTATAACATAATATATTTAAGCATAGTTAATTCTTAATAGTACTGTGGAAAAGAATTTCATGGGCTAATGCCACTGTGAAAAATTGTTTTACTCTATTAATATTCATATATGTTAATATTTTCTGCAACTCAATTATTTGCTTTATTTTTAACAATTTAAATCCAAGACCCACTTGGTTATCAGTTTCTTCAACATTATTGCTTCATGTGATGACTGGCACTCTGAAAAGATAAAATAGGATTAATGATGAAGCTTCATTATATCTAAGGAGTGGCTACATGTACAAATGTAAGGAGTAGTACCATTGCAAATAAACTCACCCGGAGAACGCTTCTTCTCCGCCAGTGCCTACGTGTGTTCATGGGAACCTTCCCTCCTCCCTTTAGATGGTAACTGTTGAGTCCTGACTTAGTCTCTGGGCAGCAGGATCAAGGGGATGGAGAGGCAGACTAAGGAGAACCACATCGGATTCTCCCTCTAGCCTTTACCAAGTCATTTGGTGTGACTCTTTTTTTTTTTTTTAATTTTGAGTTGTTTTATTTAAAGACTTGAACATTTTCCTTTGAAAAATCAGTGTCTTTTATGGTGAGGAGAGTAGATATCCAAGAAAAAGAAATGAGACAGAGATGCATGCAAACAACTTGGAATGTAAACTTAAAAGTTAATAAAAGGAAAGTTGGAGAGGATATATTTATTTTTAACTTTTTAGCTCTTATACTATATTTTTTATCTTCTGTTTTTTTTAGATATAATTGATATTCAGCACTGTATAAGTTTAAGGTGTGCAGCATAATAATTTCACTTATATCATGAAATGATTACATTAAATTTAGTAAGCATCCGTCACCTCTTATAGATACAAAGTGAAAGAAAAAAGAGAAAAATTATTTTTTCCTTGTGATGAGAATTCCTAGGATTTACTCTCTTAAATGTCATAGATAACATACAGTGATGTTAATTGTATTTATCATGTACATTATATTCCTAGTACTTATTTATCTTATTACTGAAGTTTGTACCTTTGACTGCCTTCATCTAATTTCCCCTTCCCCCAACTCCCACCTTTGATAACTACAAATCTGATCTTTTTTTATGAGTTTCTTTGGTTGGTTGCTTGGGACAGGAGTGTTGAAGTATAATTGACCTATAACACTATGTTAGTTCCTGGGCACAACACAATGATTTGATATTTGTATACATTACAAAATGACCATCACAGTAAACCTATTTACCATGTGTTACTATACAAAGATATTACATTACTGTTGACTGTATTCCGCACTCTGTACATTTTAGTCCCCTGATTCATTTATTTTGTTAACTGGAAGCTTGTACTACTTAATCTCCCTCACCTATTTCATTCATTGCCACATCTCTGACCACCACCCCTGCTGGTTTTCTGTATCTAAAACTCTATTTCTACTTTGTTATGTTTGTTTGTTTTGTATTTTAGATCCACATATAAGTGAACGCATACAGTAATTGTCTTTCTCTGTCTGATTTACTTCACTTAGCAAAATACCCTTTAGGTCCATCCATGTTGTTGCAAATAGCAAGCTTTCATTATTTTTTATGGCTGAGTAATAAAATGTATGGACCTAATATAATAAAAATAATAATAGGTATGGACCTAACAGCAGCAGAAGATACTAAGATGAGGTGGCAAGAAGACACAGAAGGGCTATACAAAAAAGATCTTCATGACCCAGATAATCACGATGGTGTGATCACTCACCTAGAGCCAGACATCCTGGAATGCAAAGTCAAGTGGGGCTTAGCAAGCATCACTACGAACAAAGCTAGTAGAGGTGATGAAATTCCAGTTGAGCTATTTCAAATCCTAAAAGATGATGCTGTGAAAGTGCTGCATTTAATATACCAGCAAATTTGGAAAACTCAACAGTGGCCACAGGACTGGAAAAGATCAGCTTTCATTCCAATCCCAAAGAAAGGCAATGCCAAAGAATGCTCAAACTGCCACACAATTGCACTCATCTCAGATGCTAGCAAAGTGTAATGTTCAAAATTCTCCCAGCTCCAACAGTACATTTGAACCGTGAACTTCCAGATATTCAAGCTGGAGTTAGAAAAGGCAGAGGAACCAGAGATCAAATTGCAAACATCTGTTGAATCATAGAAAAAGCAACAGAATTCCAGAAAAACATCTACTTCTGCTTTATTGACTACACCAAAACCTTTGACTACGTGGATCACAACAAACTGTGGAAAATTCTTCAAGAGATGGGAATACCAGACCACCTAACCTGCCTCCTGAGAAATCTGTATGCAGGTCAGGAAGCAACAGTTAGAACTGGACATGGAACAACAGACTGGTTCCAAATACGAAAAGGAGTACGTCAAGGCTGTATATTGTCACCCTGCTTATTTAACTTATATGCAGAGTACATCATGAGAAATGCTGGCCTGGAGGAAGCACAAGCTGGAATTAAGATTGCTGGGAGAAATATCAATAACCTCAGATATGCAGATGACACCACACTTATGGCAGAAAGCAAAGAGGAACTAAAGAGCCTCTTGATGAAAGTGAAAGAGGAAAGTGAAAAAGTTGGCTTAAAACTCAACAGTCAAAAAACAAAGATCATGGCATCTGGTCTCATCACTTCATGGCAAATAGATGGGAAAACAATGGAAACAGTGACAGAATATTTTCTTGGGTTCCAGAATCACTGCAGATGGTGATTACAGCTACAAAATTAAAAGATGCTTGCTCCTTGGAAGAAAAGCTATGACCAACCTAGACAGCATATTAAAAAGCAGAGACATTAAACAGCAGAGACTTTGCTGACAAAGGTCCATCTAGTCAAAGCTATGGTTTTTCCAGTAGTCATGTATGGATGTGAGAGTTGGGCCATAAAGAAAGCTGAATGCGGAAGAATTGATGCTTTTGAACTATGGTGTTGGAGGAGACTCAAGTCCCTTGAATTGCAAAGAGATCAAACTAGTCAATCCTAAAGGAAATTAATCCTGAATATTTATTGGAAGGACTGATGCTTAAGCTGAAGCTCCAATCTTTTGGCCACCTGGTGTGAAGAACTGACTCCTTAGAAAAGACCCTGATGCTGGGAAAGACTGAAGGCAAGTGGAGAAGGGGATGATAAGGGGATGAAATGGTTGGATGGCATCACCGACTCGATGGACATGAGTTTGAGCAAGCTCTGAGAGTTGTTGATGGACAGGGAAACCTGGCGTGCTGATGTCCATGGGTGGCAAAGAGTTGGGCATGACTGAGCATCTGAACTGAACTGAATATTCATGTGTGTGTATACACATCTTCTTTATCTATCAATGGGCAGTTTATTCTACTTCATCCATAATACTAGTAAATTAAGCACTTGTGGTTTAATTCCTTTTTGTTTTTGTTTTGCTTAGATAGCCTACCTTGTTTTATTTCCCCAGTTATTTTAAATTTGCTGTTGAGGTAAGAGTTCAAAGAAGAACAAGCTAAATTTTCAGAAACTCTGTTTTGAGTGGAAAAAAATTTATAAATATTAAGACCAAAGTGATATAGTCCTTACAGTTACAGTTTTGGTAACTTTTGCTATAGAAAGTTTATGCTAATGGTCACCTTTTGTTATCTGCTCTTGACCTAGCACCTGACTTTTGTAGGTTTTTGTCTTGATTTCTAAGAGCTGTCAACTTTGATACACCTTCTTCTCACATCTTTCTTCATCCAACACTTCAGCATACGTTCATGCAAACATATAAATACAAATGAGTGCTTTGTATAATTATAGGAATGTTTTATGACCTGTGAATGTTAGATTTTTGTTGTTGACTTTGGTCATGTTTAGTGTTGGTTTCTTTCTGTTGGCTTCGTACATTTCTCCTAAATTTCATCTTTGTTACCTTTGTTACCAGACAGACCACCATGATTCTCACCTGTTTCCTGCCTGGTGTTACTGATAACTTTGATATTTTGTTTTCAGTGTCCATAGTCTCTGTCAATCCTCGCAAAAGTTTCACAGATTATTTTGCAATATTTTATTTTTAGACTTTAATGAAGCAGTCCCAGAGACAGAGCGCCTGGATTCAAAAGCACTGAAAACTCGGGCCCAGCTCTCCATGAAGAACAGACGCCAGAGACCGTCTAGGACAAGACTCTATGACAGTGTCAGCTCAACTGATGGGGAGGACAGTCTGGAGCGAAAGGTGAGCACCCCTGACCGCTTTCTGACTTGCCGCTTTGGGCTGTATCCTTGTTCCTACAGCTTACTGAAAATAATGAGTTTCCTGCAGCCAGATTCTGTATTCTAGTTGAAAACAGCTGGAATAGTTCACCTCTTTGTCTCCTAAGTTCTTATTCACCTCTATATATTGTTATAATTCAAATTCTTTCTGTACTCATTCAGTGAACTAACAACCAAGAGCAATATCCATAGCGTCATATTTCATGATGGTGCTTTTGATATTCAGCTGTTGATTTTTTCCTGGTGGTAAATAATTAATGCACAAGTCATTGTTTTTATTATGTCTTAGGTGTCTGTGTTAGCTACAGTGGTAATATGGTACACTGTTATGAACTATGCAGTCTCATCTGTAAACCCTCAAAAATTGGTTTTCATAGGATTTACTAAGAAAAAAAGGTCGGTCTGATTTCAAAGTAAGTATCAAATGATGTTCAGTGGCATAACCTCCTTTATAATCTTTTATACCAACAGCCTTCAAACAGTCTCTATAACCACATGCACATTACCAAATCACTTCTGCCCAAGGGTTTGAGAGCTTCTCCAGAATCAGATTCTGGTGCTTCATCCCTCAGTCCAGTGGCTGGAAGTGTGCCCTTCTCGTCTGACCACATAGCTGAATTTCAAGAAGGACCACTCTACTCGGAAGAGGAGCCTTCCTCCTCTGTTGGGGAAGACACTTCACTCTCCTCTCCTTCAAAATCTGATCATGATACGGAAGAATTGCCTTGCCACAATCAAGCCACCTCCACGAAAATACTGCAAGAGAAAGGTACTGTTAACTTTGGTTTTTTTTAGCTTTTGTTTTGTCTGACTTCACTAACACCTCAATTTGTAACACACGAAAACAAGGGCCTGTGTCTTTTGCTTAGTTACTAATTGACACTGCTTTCCTTTCACATTATGGGACAAGAGAACTCCCTTACTTTTTTATCTTTTCCTATCTGATTAGTATTTCACTTCCTCAGCAAGTTTCTTGTTGAAGGAAATTCTTCAGGAGTCCTGGAGATTTTAGATAATAGCATCCCATAAAGTTTCAATAAACACTAACATACTCATATAGGAAAAAAAAAAATATATATATATATATGGAGGTGAAAACAGTATAGGTCTTAACCCATTAACTGGTTTTTATTTAGAAGAAATTTTCACAGTAATTTATATTGCATAGAAGGTGATAGAAAAGCTATAATAAAGATAATACAGTAGGATTAGTCCATAAATTTTAAAATATGCTCCTAGAATTAACATGAGAATCTCATAGCAGTGTCAGTAGACTATTGTCCTTTGAGTTGTATGTTTTAATTAATAGAAGTAATAAATTCTTGCTTAAACAAGTTAAGTGATGCAAAGATGCACACAAAATAGGCTCATTTTCATTTATTTTATGTAACTAGAGTCTTAAAAACTAGTTAAGATCACATTGAAGAAGAAACTCTTACACACATAGGGTCATTTAAAATATGATGGGTAAAAAATCCACCTGTAATGCAGGGGACGCAGATTCAATCCCTGCATCAGGAAGATTCCCTGGAAGTGAGCATGGCAACATATTCCAGTATTCTTGCCTGGAGAACTCCATGGACAGAGGAGCTTAGCAACCTATAATCCATAGTGTTGAAAAGAATCAGACACAACTGAAGCAACTTAGCACACACATCTCTACCAAATCAAAGATTGTAATCTTTCCATGAATATATCCTGAATATAGAAATACAATTGATTGTGGGGACTCACTTTGTTTTGTAACTCTTAGCATCATAGCTTTACCCCGATATTTTCCCTGTTTTTCTTCCCTGAGCCTATTGATTTGCTGGAATTATCTTCCACAGGTTTGGTCCTAAGCACAAGACTTCTAGAAGAAGTTTTGAGGTAAAAATTAAGTACTTAGGGTGTACAAGATCCTTGTGGAGGCAGGAGAAAGTATGTCAAACCTGCTAATTTGTCAAGTTGGTGAAGGACTTGTCCTGTGATTTTGGCTTACTTTCAAAAGAATAAAGGCTTCAAAAACTCTTATTAATTAACCTGAATGGTGGGTCATAATAGCACTTTTATAGAAACATACTTGTAACAAGCCCTCCGTCATCGTCTCCTCAGAAAAAAGTGTGTATAGACCTTACTTGGCTTGTAAGAAGGCAAAAGAGCAGAGGGACCTATTTTGGAGGCAGAGGTTAATACCTTGTATTCCACTGTTTGAGTTTTCAGGTATAACTTAGGTATCTGAAAGAAGTACATTGTAGTCAGAAAGTGGATCACTCACACATGAAACCTGACTCAAAGATTTTTTTTAAAGTGGCTACCTCTTGTCTAGATTATTTCTCTTTTCATTCTAAAAAGCAGGTGTTTCATCTCAGATTTGGGAAAGTATTACATGGGTATGATCTGTGCTTCACAGACCATTAGCAGGAATATTCAGCAGAATGTGGTTAGCAGTAATTAGCATGAAAATGTGAGAATTCCTTCTTTTCTCCAAAGACCTCCTTTGCTTGCCACTGCCTCTTTGGGATTAAATTCATAGCTGCTGTAAGCAGGACCAAGAAACAGGGGTGGTGGTTTCTTCTCCAGAGATGAAATACTTGAGCTTTCTCATTTTTTCCTGGGTTGATGATGCTTGTGAGTAACTAGAAAGGAGCAATTAATTGAGCTTTTATAAAATATTAACTTTATAAGTAGTCAGTTACTAGTATGATAACCATTATTAGGTATTAGCTATGACTGGATGAAAGTAGTGCCTCCCATTCTTTCCTTCCTTGGATGAAGGTTTCCAGCCTCGAAGAACTCCGTTGTCTTCCACGTTCACTAATATTAATCTATTCATTCATGTATTTATTCAGCAAATAGTTGAACACCTGCGCTGTGTCCAGCATTGTGCTAACGGCCAAATATACAATGACGATATTCCATTCTTTCCCGCAGGGAGTTTGTAGACTAGAGTCCATCTCTATTTCTCTCTCTCTCTCTCTCTCTCTCTGTCTCCCTCGGACAGGTGACAAACCCTGTCGCTCTGACACCCCACGACCATCACCATCAACAACTTTACACTTGATTGCCTTCCACTCTCATGTCCTGTTGTACTTTGAAAGATAGCAAAGAAATCTGTCAGTCAGGACTCTTTGCCATCTGTAAAGTCCTTGAGTTCTTTGCCGTATGAGACAGATCCACTGTTCAGACCAGGAGTCAACAGAGGTTCAGTGGGATGAGCTTGATTCACCTGTGTGTGTGTTTATATGTGTGTGGTTCTTACAGCTCACTGGCACCTCAGTCAAGGAACTAGAATGGGGTTATTACTCACAAGTACGAACTGGACTTCATGTGTAAGTTCATACCTAGCGTGTCCCTCCGGTAGATTCTGGACTTGGTTCCAAGCCCATCTTAAACTTCACCCCCTTTAGTGGACCCCTTGTCCCCTGCCCCCCTTCCCAGGTGGTTAATTGCTCTCTGACCCCCACAGAAATTATCTCACTGTTAATTCTGCTTCTGTAACTTTGTGTATGGTAAGTGATCCAGTTTTCAAGTGCGAGACAGGCTTTTCTCATCCATTGTATTCATCTGTGCGTTCATGGTCCCTGGTAAGAAGTATGGCATGTGATTTATACCCCTAAGTTTCTTGGATGAATTAATAAGTATGTCTCTCTAGATAATCAGTACAGGTCTTCTGGAACAGAGGTCATCAAACCCAATCCAGCCTCCACCTGTCCTCAGAAGTAAAGTTTTTTCGGACCACAGCCACACTCATACAGTTCCATGCTGTTTTCATACTACTGTAGCAGAGTGAGTGGCTGTGACAGGGTCAGTTGCCCACAGCCTAAAGTATTTTCACTCTGGCCTTTTACAGAGAAAGCTTGCTGACCCCTAGTCTAGACATATGTTTCCTTCCACTCAACATTGTTGAATAAACTCTGAAATTGTCTTAGTCATTAGTTGCCATTTTTCTAGATTTTTTTTAAAGTAATATACCATTACTTTTGGCCTACCATGGTACCACAAAGGTAATAATTCAGTTAATAGCTGTAGTTGATTGCAATCCTCAGTCTGATTCTCTGCTGTTATTGAACATGTAATTGAAGTAGATTGGTACAATTCTAAATTGTACCAATACCGCATTCACAAGTCACCGTTTTGTTTAATCGTGGGACCTCAGTGGAAACTAGGACAGAAAGCCTCCCATTACAACTGGATGTTTGATAAATACCTAGCTCCATGTAGGGAAAGGAGAATTTCCTTTCCATTTAGGGAAAAGAAAGAGTGATGTGAGAACCACTGACAGAAAGCTGACTAGATAGAGGGGGAGAGAGTGAGGAGGTGGAAACTGATCGCAGGGCTGCCAGCCGCAGAAAGCGTGGCCCCTGTCGTTAATAGCAATCAGGAAATCAGAAACTATGGGGGAAAGACGATCAACCCATTTTTAGTAGAAGAGGACTTGAGCTCCAGAGAGAAGGCAGGGCTGGGAGGTAGACTTGAGAGTCTTTGGTGCTGGGAAAGATTGAGGGCAGGAGAAGAGGGTTACAGAGGATGAGACTGTTAGATGGCATCATCGACTCAGTGGACGTGAGTTTGCGCAGACTGTGGGAGATGGTGAAAGACAGGGAAGCCTAGTGTGCTTCAGTCCACAGGGTCACAAAGAGTTGGACACAACTGAGTGGCTGACCAGCAAGAACACAGTAAAAGAAGAAGAGGTAGTCAGGCGTCTTGTTGGAGTGAGAATAAGAAGAATACAGTCCCAGCAAGGGCCTTAATATTTAGCTCAGGAGATCAGTTGTTTCCTTTGAAAATAAAGACCAGCTTGCCAAAGCTTAAAGCTGTGGTATCCAGTGTGAAGACTTGGACCTCTGATTGCTCATGAAGGTGGTAATGGACAGATTTCAAAAAGCCTAGTGGAAATTTCATATATAGCTAGATAAGCAAACAGACAAAACTGTCAAAATTCTTCTTCTTTTCCTGAAGTCACACCAATCCAGTGTTGGTTTTAACATGGACTAGAAGTTCCGATGTACATTAAAGGTGGATTTGATTGGTTTAAACTGGAGAAGTGCTTTATTACTTAATCTTGCCTCTCTGGCCTTTTGAATGCATTCATTTAAGTGTGCCTTGGAACACACTTTGGCAAATATATGCGATAATGATGTAAGGTTGCCTGGCAGCAGGCTCTGTGATGGGCAGAATCAGGCTTTTAATCCCAAGATGTCCAAATAATTGCCACACTAATAGGTTATAGAGTGTTGCCATGTACATTGTCGCATCTGGTCCTCACACCACTCGTTGAAACATCTCCCAGCCACCTTTGTTTCCAAAAATAATAAATCAGTCTCCTTTTAACTTCGCACAGTCCTTGCCATTAAGAGTTGCTCTAGAATTGATTTGGAAGAATATAGTATTTTCTCTTCTTTGACTTCTGTTAGGGAAACTGCAGTCCTGCTTTTTTAATGTCCATTTGCAAAATCACCTTAGAACGAGTTTGTGCCGTGTCTGTAGATTTTTTTAGGTGAATATGTCACATCTGTGGCTATTTAATTCAGTTACCTGAAGAGTAATGGTGCAAAGAGTCATAATAAATATTTGAGGCTAGATGTGGATTTTGACATGGGCATATTTCTGACTTTCTATTTCATTATGTACATTTCAAAATTATTGATTATTGTAATCAGAGTATCATTAACTAAAACTATGAAAAGCTCATTGCTAAAAATCCTTAGAATGTTTTTCAACATCCTGTGCTGCTTCAAAACTTCGAAAAGAAACTTCTAAATGAGAAGTGTTTGTAAGTTATGTGTGTTTAGAAATTTCTTCTGAAATAGACAAAAAGCATAAGCAAAATTAACCCAGAAGGCTAACTGAATACTTTCTTAGGAGAACTATATTCCATGCCACAAAGTTGCTGGATTTTCTTTTTAATTTTAAAAAGATAGACGCCCACAGACAATTGAGAAAAAGCAGTTTTCATACACAAATAGGCATCCAAGTTAAGACACCTTTTGTTAATGGTCTCAGATAACTGGATGTGCTGAAATATAATGCCAAGCAGCATCCATTGCTATATAGTTCCAGGTAGAGCCACAGCAGTCTCTACCTCGTCCAAGGTGGAGTAAGTGCCATGAGTGAAATCTTGCTCCTGCAGCTGACATTGAATTCCTTTGGCAGACTCTCTCCTCTGATCGGTTTCTGGCGTCATCTCAAGTGTCCCCAGCCCCTAGCAGCCGCTGCGCTTTCGAATGCCAGCATGACTCAAGAGAAGTAAGGACCGTTCAGCTCCAAACACTGAGGAGGTTTTGGAGTCTTCCTCATCAAGGGAGGCCAGCCAAGCTGTGCTCTGAGCCAACTTCTAAAAAAGACTTTGCGAAGTTGTAAATGTTTTATAGCTGAGCGCCTGCTTGAGCCGTCTCCCCCGTGTTCCGTCTCCTCTGTCCCAGTGCTGGCCGCAGGCCAGTAGCAAGGGGCGGACCAGAAGGGGAAACTTGGACGCGCACTCTCTCCCTGAATCTCCCAGACTCTCAGGGGTGACATTCTTTACTGGACTTGGGACATAGAGGGGAAGTGGCTGGGTTCCTGTCAGAAGGCGTTTAAAAACCCAAAGCAGGAAAGACGGGGAGGACCCAGCCCAGACATTTGAAGCAGAGTTGGAGCCAGAGAATAAACAAAAGAAAAGTCATTTGGTCCCTGCTTTGAATGTAAAGGATGATTTGATAGTGTTTATTCTTGTGTATTTTTTCATTCCACTTTATTTGAAGCTAAAATTCTTTTGATTTTAGAGTTGGGCTTCTGTATAACAGGCCCTCTCCTGGTTTAACTGAGTGTTCCTCAACATAGCTGTATCCTGTTTCTTTATAAAAGGCATCCATTGTTTTCTTTTACACTTAGGAATTGAGGCAAACCCCTTAGATACAGATATGCAGTGACTTTTGACAATAGCTTTTTAAAGAATGATAGTAATAGAAAAAATGATAATAATCACTTTTGTTTTTTACATATGTGTATATCCTAGATGGTGCCAAAGGTCCCAAATCACTAAGGGCATCCAGTTCATTGGTGGTACGAGGAGGAAAAATTAAGCGAAAGTTCGTGAATCTGGGGTAAGCGCTTCACGAGGTAAAAAGCAAGCCCTCTGTAAGAGAAGGGTTACGTTCCCTTTCTGACTGTGTGCTGTCATTACAGGGCACCTTTGCGGAAGAATTCCAACAAGGGAAAGAAATGGAAAGAGAAAGAGAAAGAAGCCAATAGGTTTTCTCCAGGTAGCAGGTATGGGTGGGTGATTAAGAACACAGGTGTGTCTGTGCATCTGAACTTTCTGACTTCCTGCCATTGTTAACCAAAGTCGGTGGTCAGTATCTTTGTGCTGATGTGATGTACCGAGAGATGAGATGAAAGAAAAGTTCCCGACATGGTCCATTGGTTTAATTGCAGAATCATGGTCACGTGAACAGTTTCAGTAAATGCTTAGCTAAATACGGCATAAATATATCTATGTGACAAATCAGTTAGACATATTTCAGCTTTTTTGCCTGGCTACCCACAATGCTTGTATATTCTCTTTTTAAGTCTGAAAGGGTGTTTTTGCATTTAAGTACCTTGTTGGCTTTCAAGACTGTTTCCGTCCACCTGCATATAAGAAAGATCACTGTCTCTGGACTCAGCTGTTAAATTGATTTTTGCCAATGCCATCAACTATGCTTACTATTAGATTAAAAACTGTCCTATAGAGAAGTGAGCTTTGTATAACATATTGTCAAGCTTTCCCAATTTTATTCTGAGATTGCATGATTGTAAACCTGGCTTTGTCTAGGGGGACATTAAGGCACAAATGTGTGCTCTGTCTCAAGTCCGGCTGCCTGGGTTTAAATCAGTGCTCTCCCAGTTACTACCTTTAAAACCTTGGACAGGTTATGTAGCCTTTCTACCTTTGTTTTTTCTTCTTTGAAATGAGGATAAAAATTAAGAGTAGCTACCTCATAACATTGGTGTAAGGGTTAAATGAGTTTTCATGTAAAGCTTTTAAACTGCTACCTTGCACATAGAAGGCATTCAAAAATAATAAGAAAGATAGAAACTCACTAATATTATTATTTGTGAGTTACAAAGAAGTTTTATACTTATCATTTCATTTGATTCTTACAATAAGATTGGGAAAGGAGATAATAATGCTACACTTTATTGATGAAGAACTTTGCCTTCATAGAATTTAATTGATTCACCTAGGATTATCCAACAGGCCATTAATGTCAGTTAGCTGAAGCTTGGCCTCTTGTTTAGATGTCTTTTCCACACTGAGTGTCGTATGCACTTACTTAAGCATCTAATGATGTTTATATTGCCTTATGAAGTGCTCGCTTCGGCAGCACATATACTATATTGCTTTATGAATTTAGGGAATCATCCCAAAAGTACAGACTAAGGAAGAAACAGACAAAATGCTAAGAATAAAGGCACACAAAATTATTTGTGGACCATGTATCCATTTCATAGACTATCCCAAGTCTTTTTCTTTTTTCTCTTTTCTGGCATACAACTTGGTGAGAAATTGTACCTTCTCCCTGAGATTACAGGAGAATGGGGGAGAGGGTAAAGGGTGGGAAGAGAGAATTCCAAAATTTATTTTTGTTTTTCTGGGTTTCCTTTATGCTGTCCAATGGATAATGGCAAGAAAGCTCTGTCTATATTGAGTATAGGAATCTCGGGGGAAAATTAGGCCAAAATGCAACTCAAAAGCAATTTTTAATTTTGCATGATTTCAAAATGAGAAATTGAGTGAGTAGAATTAAGAATTAGGAATAGAAGAGTATCAAGTATGCTCAGGGGAAAAAAACAACAACAAATGGTGACACCATTTAAGGGAGAGAGAGATGCCCAAATACACTACGGGAGAGACACTGGGACCCCTCGGAAATGACAGTGTGGTCCCTGGGCTCCTGAGGCAGCCACCACCTCTCTCCTGAGGCGCCCCCTGGAGCATCACGCTCAATGGGGTACATTGAGCACAGGCATTCAGCAGAGGGGAGACAAGGTCCGCCTGAGCTCCGTCACAGTAGCCAGGGTCCTCATGTCCTTGTTTAAACTGCAGGTGGAAGTCAAGCAGACCTTGATTCTCTTGGCAAGCGTTCACCTTACTCTAGGCGAAACCACACATGTTGCATGGCGGGCGGTCATCAGCACGAAGCTGGACCACAGTTAACGCCAGCTTTTGAACCAGCGGCCACCCCGGCTACCCAGTCAGCTACATTTTAAAACATCAGTTCTTGTGTCTCTCTGCATCAGTAGTCACAAACTATTCACATGTACAATGTTATAAAATAGTTTTCAATTAGAATCATAGTTTCATAATTATTTCTAACTGCAGTAGAATGTTGACAGGACTGAAAGGAACTCGTGTAATTGTAATAATAAGACAGGAAAGAAGAGGGACTTTTCCTGTTTCCAAAATTAAAAGTTTTGAGCTATCACAGTGATTGGTTAACAGTCATCAAATCTAAGGACAGCCTCCGTTCTCCTATGTAAACGAGTAATTGGGCCAGAACCTTATGAAAGCTATTCCAGGAAGCACAGTTACTGCCCAGCGTACTGCAGTGGAGCTGGCTTCATGGGGTCCCTGGAGATAGGTGGGTGAGCAGCCCCAGCGCTGCAGGTCCCACTGGTCTTCCCAGTGGTTAGAAGGACTGGGAGTAAACTCATCAGTCCTGGGAAGTTGCCTCAAAAATGATTCACAAACTGAGTTAGTATCTTATCTTAGGCTTCTCAGCCATTTCTTATAAGATTATAAACATTGGATGAGGTCAGTCAATTGGTGATAACCTGAGTGTTCTCGCCCTGTCGTTTGACCTGAAAACAAACTATGGCGGAGGTGATGAAGATAATGGTGACCTCCTTCAGAAGGTCCCATGCACATACTGCCGCTGTCAGTGCCCCCGAACCCTGCAGCAAGACATCATCGACCCACGCCTCCACCAGAGACTCCTGGACACTCACGGGCAAGGCTGGGTCAGTCTCTTCTGGGGTCACTGCTCCTTTCTCCTGGGTCCTGGTACGCACAAAGTTCTGTTTGTGCCCTCCAAGAGTCTATTAACTCAGTCCTGTCTAAGTACTGGCAGCTCTGTGGTGGAGTTAATGGCGAGCTCCTCCAAGAGGGCTTATGCCATACCCAGGTCTGCTGCACCCAGAGCCCCTGCCCCAGCGACAGGCCACTGCTGACCCGTACCTTTGCAGGAGACACTCAGACACAGTTCTGGCTCAGTCTCTGTGGGGTCCCTGGGTCCTGGTGTGCAGAAGGTTTGTTTGAGCCCTCTGAGCGTCCTGGCAGGTAAGGGGTTTGATTCTGAATGCGATTTTGCCCCTCCTACTGTCTTGCTGGGGCTTCGCCTTTGCCCTTGGATGTGGGTCTCTTTTTTTGGTGGGATCCAGCATTCTCTAGTCAATGGTTATTCAGCAGCAAGTTGTGGTTTTGGAGTTCTCGCAGGAGAAGATGAGCACATGTCCTTCTGCTCTACCGTCTTATGCCAAAACCTTCCTCAGTGATCAGTGCAATGAAATAGAGGAAAAGAATAGAATGGGAAAGACTAGAGATCTCTTCAAGAAAATTAGAGATGCCAAGGGAACATTTCATGCAAAGATGGGCACAATAAAGGACAGAAATGGTATGGACCTAACAGAAGCAGAAGATATTAAGAAGAGGTGGCAAGAATACACAGAAGAACTATACGAAAAAGATCTTCATGACCCAGATAATCACGATGGTGTGATCACTCACCTAGAGCCAGACATCCTGGAATACGAAGTCAAGTGGGCCTTAGGAAGCATCACTGTGAACCAAGCTAGTGGAGGTGATGGAATTCCAGTTGAGTTATTTCATCCTAAAAGATGATGCTGTGAAAGTTCTGCACTCAACATGCCAGCACATTTGGAAAACTCAGCAGTGGCCACAGAACTGGAAAAGGTCAGTTTTCAGTCCAATCCCAAAGAAAAGCAATGCCAAAGAATACTCAAACTATTGCACAATTGCAGTCATCTCACATGCTAGCAAACTAATGCTCAAAATTCTGCAAGCCAGGCTTCAACAGTACATAAACTTCCAGATGTTCAAGCGGGATTTAGAAAAGGCAGAGGAACCAGTGATCAAATTGCCAGCATTCGCTGGATCATTGAAAAAGCAAGAGAGTTCCAGAAAAACATCTGCTTCTGCTTTACTGACTATGCCAAAGCCTTTGACTGTGTGGATCACAACAAACTGTGGAGAATTCTTCAAGAGATGGGAATAGCAGACCACCTGACCTGCCTCCTGAGAAATCTATATGCAGGTCAAGAAGCAACAGTTAGAATGGGACATGGAGCAACAGATTGGTTCCAAATTGGGAAAGGAGTACGTCAAGGCTGTATATTGTCACCCTGCTTATTTAACTTATATGCAGAGTACATCATGAGAAATGCTAGGCTGGATGAAGCACAAGCTGGAATCAAGATTGATGGGAGAAATATCAATAATCTCAGATATGCAGATGACACCACCGTTATCGTAGAAAGCGAAGAGCCTCTTGATGAAAGTGAAAGAGGAAAGTGAAAAAGTTGGCTTAAAACTCAGCATTCAGAAAACTAAGATCATGGCATCCGGTCCCATCACTTCATGGCAAATAGATGGGGAAACAGTGGAAACATAGCTGACTTTATTTTTGGGGCTCCAAAATCACTGCAGATGGTGACTGCAGCCATGACATTTAAAGACCCTTGCTCCTTGGAAGAAAAGTTATGACCAACCTAGACAGCATATTAAAAAGTAGAGACATCATTTTGCCAACAAAGGTCCATTTATTCAAAGCTTTGGTTTTTCCAGTAGTCATGTATGGATGTGAGAGTTGGACTGTAAAGAAAGCTGAGTGCTGAATTATTGATGCTTTTGAACTGTGGTGTTGGAGAAGACTCTTGCAAGTCTGTTGAACAGCAAGGAAACCCAAGCAGTCCATCCTAAAGGAAATCAGTCCTGAATATACATTGGAAGGACTGATACTGAAGCTGAAACTCTGATACTTTGGCCACCTGATGTGAAGAACTGACTCATTTGAAAAGACCCTGATGCTGAGAAAGATTGAAGGTGGGAGGAGAAGGGGACAACAGAGGATAAAATGGTTGGATGGCATCGCTGACTTGATGGACGTGAGATTGAATAAGCTCCAGGAGTTGGTGATGGTAGGGAGGCCTGGCGTGCTGCAGCCCATGGGGTCGCAAAGAGTCGGACACGACTGAGCGACTGAACTGAA